CGGCACTGCCCTCCGCAGACACCCAGCACACCGGCACTGCCCTCCGCAGACACCCAGCACATTTGCTGGGGCTGATGGGCCATGACCTTCATCAGCATGCACTGGCAGACGAGACCTCCAGGCCACACATGAGACACAGTCATACAGTTCCAGCAGGATTTGGGCCTGGTTAACGACAACGCTGGGCGTGAAGACAAGCGGCTCTCTTCAATGGATACATCTGGGAATTGCGACTGGGTTGGAGATGCGATCCGATCTGGGCCTCCGCCGTGCAGCTCTGACAAGGCAGTGCGCTGTCCGTGTGCACTTGGGAGGTCCAGATCCGGACAGGCAGCACCAGAATATTTGGAATTAGAAGGAGAAAATCACAGAGGATATGTCTATCTTAAAAAAAGGCTGACACTATCAGAAAATTAAGACTGACAATGATGCCTTGCATTGTGGAAAACTGTGAGCTTGCAAACAAATATATATAGAATGAGCCTACATGACAGGACTGTGGATTATCTATGTCAAATCCTCATTTATACATACTCAGATGATTTAAGAGGTGCAATTAGTCAGCCCTGGCACACATGTACATTGTTACAAATGTAACAGGAGGCCAGAAAAAAATAAACACCTAGAATCAATAAATGTGCTCTTAGTGGCAGGTATTTAAAACATGCTGTAGCGGAATTGGTTTCCCAGCAACCCTTGCTTACTTCATTTAACACAGGAAAGAAACAGAAGTTTTTTCATTCCCTTCTGATTATTTACACACACACAGAAGAGGACGGTTTACTGGGGAGCGTGCTGGACCAGGCCCTGACTTTGTTGTGTGGTTTACAGCAAGCGAAAAGGGTGCTTTTTACTGCTGTAACCTCTAGCCTGCAGAGGACTCATTCACTGCCTTTGCTTTCACCCAGACTCGTGCTCACGGAGAAAAGCCTTGCCACGGGCCTCGAGGATGCTGTCGGAACCATTTATGAAGACCGCATGTGAAGTCATGTGAACAAACTTCCTATTGCTGGCCAAATAACCTTGAAATGCATATCTATAGCCCATTCGGCACTGACATGCCTGTGAGAATCAGATCTGTTTCTGCAGTCTATAGCTTTTCATAGAGTAACTGGTATTTTATAGGGTATAGACGGCTCACCACACACAGCGTGTAGCTACAAAATTTTTTAAATCTTTTTAATCGTCCATGTCTTTGTCTTGATACATACATCTAAAAAAGGTTTTTTTTTCTATTCAACCGAATTTCCTTTCTACTACAACTGGACTGTATAGTCAAACATATTGTGGTTGAATGGCTCCTGCTCTGTTGGTGAGCTGTAACACCCAGAGCACACAGCCCATCAAATGGGTTTTCCAGTTTCAGTTGCCTCAAAACATTCAGAATCTAGTGACTTTTCATGCAAGAAAGCGTAAAGTGTAAAACAGAAAACTGGAGAGCAGGGTTGGGCCACAAAGTGATGAGAACTCTGCAGCTGGGTGTGTTATTAACATTCATATTACCAGTGGGTTCATATTTAATAATCTTTCACAGCACTGCTGTGGACTGTCAGCAGAGCGAGGATTGACAGGCGAAGCAAACTGAACCTTTTCAGTCTTGAACAGAGGAGACCATGACAGGACCTGATCCAGGTATTGAAAATCCTGCCAGGGCCTGACTGAGTCACCCCAGTGGCTGAATCGTGGACTAGAGGACACAAGTGGGAAGTGGGAGGAATTCCCTGTAACACAGAGAGCAGGAGGCACTTCTTTACTCAGAGGGCTGCGAACAAGCTTCCTAGCCATGTTGCTTCTTTCAAGAAACAGTGAGATATGATCCTCTATTCAATGAACTTTCATTTAACTTTCTTAATTGATTTCGATCAATCCTCCTTATGTCTTTATTTGCAGAGCCTCCATAAAGTAATACATCTTGCTGCTTCCAGGTCAAAATAACAACATGGCAATAGCAACAAGCAATGGAAGAAAAACCAGCTGCATCATGGACAAACTTTCACATTGCTGATGGGCTACCCCTGCTACTCAGTTCGGTCATTTCTTTGCCACTCAGGGAAAAGCTTGGTGCAGAACTTTGGGTTGGACCCCTAGAATTACGAGGGGAGACAGAAGGGCCTCAAGTCCATGATGCTGCTGGAGAACAGGCAGCAGAAGGACCTTTTTCGTCACCGTACTGATTCTGTGCTGTGTTGTAACTGTGTAAGTAAAAAAAACGGCAAGCACAGTGAAAAAAAAATCACAAGGTAACAGATGTCCAAGACAAAACTGTTTTGTTTAAAATACTTCACTGGGCTGTGACATCACAAGACAGCGGTCACCTACGGATTTCACCTCCATGGGTAACTGCTGTAGGAAATCCAGCAGTCTGCACGTGCCCAGCTTTCTGCAACTATTAAACGATAGAAATATCAAGGACGCATAAGGTGCATTAAGCTTATGTACGAATCATCTCCGTAATTAGCATGCAGCAAGGTTGGGAATAAGACATTCTGTGTGCGGTGGGATTTTGTCCTTAATTAAAAATGCATTCAAGCACTTGTGGTTAGCTAGAGGTCAAGTGGGGGCACTACTCAGATTCTGTTGCATTAGACAGAGAGAGAGAGGTAGGAGAGAAATATTGTTCAAGGATTATGCAAAATACAAAGAGAATTACTTCTTATGCTAATAGTATCTGACCTTTATTTTTTTCCCCCTTGTGCTGTTCTAATTGGCCGCGGTCGTGCTGAGAGGACAGAGTGACCCAAGTGCCCAGGTGCCAAGTGGCAGGCCGACAAATTGGAGGTACATCTCCGGTGAGCGAGCAGCCCGTGTCACTGTCATCAAAGGGCTAACTAAAACTGTCAACCACCATTAATCAGAACTGAGGTCTGATTCCTTCCGGAGGTTTCAGCCTGAACCAAGTTCCTCTGTTCCACTGATCGCCAAGGACAGCCGCTGCCTGAACCAGCTACAGTACATCAGCCAAGCCACCCCTGCTCTCGGTCTCTCTCTGCTATCACCTGACCCACCCACCTCCTGTCTTTGTATCAGGTGCACATCTCTTGCATCCCATGAGACATCTCTGTGTCTCACTCATGCTCATGTGTTTATATCCCATGAGACATCTCTGTGTCTCACTCATGTTCATGTGTTTATATCCCATGAGACATTTCTGTGTCTCATGCATCTCTTTGTATCACGGGCAGACCTCTGTGTTTTGTCAGGTGACTTGTGATGAGTTCCCAATCTCCAATTTCCATTTCTGTAAGATGAGTCCTGTCAGCACAACATTGGGTTCACAACATTCCTTGGAATTCATACTATCCTCAGTTTCACAGGGGCAATTAATGAATTCCCCCATAAAAAATAGACTAAGAATGAACAATACCGGGCTGAAAGGTACAATGCAATCTGAATCTTGGAAAATGTGAAAAAAGTGCATCTCTTCAGAGTCTGTTTAGGTCATCTGGTGTTTCTACTCTTCTACCAAATGGTCATCTTGCAATTGAATTCTAGACATTAGCTCTTTAGTGAAAAAAGAAAAAAGAAAAACACTTTCTACTAAGAAGGTTTTATCCCACTATCAGGCCACATCACAAGCAATCTTAAATATTCTGTATTACTGCTCAGTCTTCATATGATGTGTTATGAGTGGGCTAAGCTTCCTGGCCTGTAGCACAGCTTCATGTGTGCAAAATGTATAAGTCTGTCACAGAAAACACAATGTCAGGCAGACAGCCACGCAGGCCAGGCTCACAGCATCTCGTGAAATTAGGTCATCTTGCCACTTGCTGGAGCTGTGCTTCAAGTAAACCCTGTTATCTGGTGCACCAGACAAGATCACTCTCCTTCTTTAAAAGCAGACACAAATGAATTTTGGCACCTTACAGCTCCACTGTTTTGAAGCTCTCTGTCTTATGACCCAGTGGTTTGTATTCAGCTAATGTTTCATAATATAATGTTTTTTATACTTTGATGTGCTATGAATATGATAATGCATACTGAGCAATTTAAAAGAACCATTAATATTTTCTTGCTGAAAATGACAAATAATTTGAGGTTATAAATGTTGAAAAACAGAAATTGAACTGCCATGTATATCATGGTACAGTACATACAGTATATTATGTATTAGTAATATACAGCATATATTACAGTATATATATATATTATAAAGCATTAAAATATATACAGTGGTGCTATAATCAACCATAACTTCAAGATTGACATCTTTGTGGTTATAATAACTTGATGTCAGTGTCAGTGCTACGCCACAACACGTTTTGGCAAATTAGATGCAGATGAACCTTCCTTTCATTGTGATGGTTTTGAGGGAAGTGTCTGCAATAGAAAAGGAGGGGCTTGACTTTCGCCTCTTACAGCTCCACTCAAGGGCCAGGAGAAAACATCAGGGAATAAACATGGCACTTTAGCAGTTTAATAATGTTCAGAGCTCACTGAGTGGAAATTATTAGAAGAAAGTGTTTAAAATGTTTTATATTGTAGATAGGTCTGCTTTGTGCAATGATCACACAGTCCAGGACAATGGTATTGTTTCACTTCTGTGCAAATAAATACACACATTTAAATACTGTATGTCACTTCCAAGAATTAATTATGAATTATGTACCAGCAATTGTGTACCAGTGTTGGTGCTTGTTCCATGTTTTTCAAATACTGTGCTACAGTGATTTGTGTACTAACAGAAATGACAACTCAAAAGCTTTTGGTGTTGGTAAAGGGATACAATAACAACACAATGGACACACAGAGTACATGCACACACTGCTGTGCAGACGTCCTGGACACAATCAGGAGTAACAATATGTGCACTATGTGTTTATGTACTTTTCTGAAAGCCTCAACTAGGTTTTTCCACTACTATAACTAATTAAACTGTTATTGATACAGCTGGGTTTGGAAGGGAACAATCCAAGCTTGTTGTTTAGCATCTTGAATTCTCACTGATGAGCTTCTTCAGACACCTGATCCCAGAACCTCAGTGTGAAATACTTGTGATCAGGCTACGTGAAGTGTTGCTGCAGCTCATCCATCACCAATCAGCTCTAATCGTCCCATTGTCAGGTGTTCCTCGGCATCAGCATCCTTCCATCCTCTATGCACGCCTTCAGAGCTAAAAGTCTATGTTTCGTACAACAAAACACAGATCTAATACAGGGTTGAGAGACTATTGTGAAAATATCAGGTGATGATCACATGAGAACTGTGTTTCTGAATAAAGAATGAAAAGCACTGGGTGAAAAGTGTATGACAATACTAAATGCCTAAGACTTTTGTGAAGTGTATTATTAACATAGTAATAAGACAACATTTCCTCTGTATTTTCTATAATCCTTCACCAGAATAAAGAGGGTGAATGAATGAATTGAATTTTAGAGCTGCAATACCATGCCATGGAAATGAAGCCTTTAGTTTTTTGTGAATCCTACATCCCAGAGCACCTCTTCCCATTCAAAGTGTTCAAAGGCTTCATGGTCTCATGAGACCGGTGTCTTCCACCTGCTCTATGATCGATCTCAGTGAAATCTGGCATCAATCCCATCTCGATCATTCCCAGACCAGCTTGCCTGGCCTGCCACAAGCCCTTGAGCGGGATGAGGCGGGCTCACCTTTGGAATATTTCCACACGATGGTGGGCACAGGGTAGCCTTCCGCGGAGCAGTTCAGGATCACAGCCTTGCCATAGATTCCATCCTGATCGCCTGGCTGGACTACAAACCTCGGGGGCACTGCAGAGAACACGGGACGGGTAAGACGACAGAGGGAAGGAACAGGCAAAACCAACCAACGATGCGGAAATTTCAAATGAGCTGTGAGTGAAAACTTGCATTGCACCAGATCCTAAGGCGTGCTCGTAGGAGCTCTGCAGTTTCCTCCAGGTAGCTGACACACACACACGGGCTCAGTTTTTCTGGAGAGTACAAAGTGAGCGAATTGCTGAATCTGCTATGGAGTGGGCAGTGCTTCCGCAGGGAATAAATGGGAACAGCTAGTTTATTGACTTTTATATGCTTAGGTACTGTTTATACTGTACAGTATGTTGAATAAAGGACTGGAAAAGATATAAAAGAGCACATCTACAATCTTCCCACTTGTATTTTCTGAGGTCTGCTTTAATAATAATAATAATAATAATAATAATAATAATAATAATAATAATAATTATAATAATAAGATCGGAAGAGCGTCGTTTCGAGAAAGGCTATGGGATTTTTAATGACCACAGAGAGTCAGGACCTCGGTTTTATGCCTCATCTGAAGGGCTGCATCGTTTTTCTAGTATAATGTCCAACCCAGTCATTAGGACCCACATGGACTGCAGGGCCCCCTACTGGCCTCACTAACACCTCACCAAGCAGCAGCCTCAGCTTTCCCAGGAGGTCTCCCATCCAGGTACTAGCCAGGCTCACACCCGTTGAGCTTCAGTGGGCTGCCAGTAGTGAGTTGCGGGGTGATATGGCTGCTTCCTGAGGTGTCTCAAGGTGCCCCAGCAGAGCTTTGATGAGTTCTGCAACGGACAGCTCGAACCCGAGCCCGCGCCGGCCTCACCTCTCACGATCAGCTGGCTCTGGTGCTCCACGGCCGCAGCGTCGTTGCTGGCGATGCAGGTGTAGTTGCCGTTGTGCATCAGCGAGAGGTTGGAGATGCGCAGGGAGCTGGTGAAGTCGATGTTGTCGATGGTGACGCCCAGGCTGGCGGGGATGGGCCGGCCGTCCTTCTGCCAGGTGATGGTGATGGGCAGGTCGCCGGAGACCACCACGCAGGGGATGAAGACGCGCTGGCCGATGGAGAAGCGTGGGAACTCGAAGGGCTGGATGAAGGGGGGGACTGGAAGAGACCACAAAGAGCCATCACTCATACACTGCTCCCCGCACTGCTGCAGGGCACTCGTCTCTTCGCGTACCCAGAACTAGGCCTCCGTCCCTTTCCTAACTGTATTCAGAAACGGCACAACCTGGACGGGTCGCCAGAGCCACATGTCCACAACACCTGTGGAGCAGCAGTTGCTTCTAAAACACCACCACACATCTGTCACAGAACCCCGAACAGCTCACGGCCCTTCAGCCCTGTTCTTTCACAACTCTGGTTGTGTTTTTCTACGTGCTATTGTTTGTAACAACAATAATTCTACAAAATAATAAAAGATTTCATTCTGTGTCAGAAAAAAAAAGTATAAAAAGCGTTTTGGAATAAAGTCTAAGCGTTTCGCATTTTAAAACAATTCAAGCAAAGCTGGATTCTAAGAATACTCGAATACAGTATATACTGTATCTAAATGTATTATTAAAGAAAAAACGAATATTCTGAAAATTAACTTTTTCCACAAAACACAAAATGCTGAAAAGCTCATGAATGCTGCACATTAATGTGTGCACCCCGTTCTTACTGCGGTATGAGTGAGCCTGGTGCTCCAGCCTGTCAGGGGCAATGAGCAGGAGTGCTCTCTCACTCTTACGAGTAGTGTGAGCCTGTTGACTGGGGCAAGTACTGTCGAGGTGTGTTCATTCACTCTCATGTGTTTTATCACCCTGTCAATTGACCGAACTGCAGAAGCACTCTTCCACCATAATGAACCAGGCTAGCCCATTAGCTGCAGTCTCTGAACATGCGCTCATTGTCTTTACTAAGTCTTTTTAGCCTCCCAGCTCTGACTGGTACACAGAGTACAGTGTAAAAGTGCAATACCAGGTATAAGGGCTCGGGCAGGGCCTCAACCTCATCTTAAAGTGACACTGACTCTTCTGGCTTGTGATTAATGAATTAACTTCTTAGCCTCTACGTTGGAAGCACCCAGCTTCTTTTTTAAGAAGGTGCTGATTTTAGTTTTCCATTTAATGGATTTTCTTTGGGAACTTTGGGAATTCAAGGTGAAAGTGAAGCCCTCCTGCTGCTTTGGAAACTGAACTCCCTGGGACATAAGAGCAAAATGGGAGCAGACAGGGCCTCTCTGAGGTGTGTGAACAGTTTCTGCCCCCCAGTTCAAAAGGAAATCTGTGCACAGAGTTACTGTCATGATGCAAAGCCATGTGCAGGATAGTGAGAGCATGTCAGGCAGATTGGAATATTTATGGCAGTATGAAAACACTTGTATCTTGGGAAATCAGAAACCCAACGGGAATCTGGTGCTTCAGGTCTCTCTGGCTTCCCAAGGACACACTTAGATGGTGTCAGAACCATCCCAGCATGCTCTTGCTCCTGCTGGTCCTGCGCTTTCGGCCATGAGTCCTGCCGTGAGGTAACTGACGAGTGAACACAGCCGGCCTGCCGGCTGCATCACCGCCTCAAACCCGTCTCAACACGGCCTTGCAAGTCAGCGTTAGCGAGGAGAAAAAACCAGAGGCAGCACTGCGATAAACAACACTTTAGTGCTTATTTAATTCGTGGCAAATTTGTGGAAACAACTTCTCCAGGGATTTTATAGCCACTGAAAGAATGAGCTTCGTTTGAGAATCAATGAGTTAAAATAACACTGAAATAACCAACGCTTTGGCACTTATTTAATTCACAACAAAGTAAGGATAATGGACTCCAGGGATTTTCCAAGCTGCTTCAGAATTTTAAGCATCAGCGGTGCAAATGAACTAACTTGATTGTAATGGAAGCAGCACTTTGTTTCTTGTCCTCTTCCCTCCACTTCATAACGCGTAAGCAAAAAGACCAGTACGAAGAACCACAACCACACATGCTGTTCACAGCTGGCGTCTCAGCGCAGTGCACACGTGGACTGATGTTTTCACTGGTGAGGAGCTGTGCTTCCCAGGATGTCAGCTCGTTAGCAGCAAGACATGAAATTCTCTGAACCCGTAACATTGTTGAGATGATTCTCCCCAGATGCAGAGTTCTGGGACTGCTATGCAAAGTACAAACGGCAAAGTTCTGGGTTCATACGACTGCAAGGAAGAGTGAAAGGTCACCTTTCCCCAGCGGACAGCAGTGAGCCCTTTCCTTGTGTTTTTGCTTTTGACTGAGGCTACAAACAGCATTTGAGCACAAGGGGCTCCCACTACGCTCCAGCTCAAACTTGATTTTTTTTAATGAATCAAGGCACTTTTCCTCATGTGCTCTGCAACTTTCTAAGCCACAAGCAGTCCAGGGCAGTATGAATGCTCTGTCAAGCCTGAAGCCTGAAGACGTCTCTGCTCCTGTTCTTGTCTTCTGTACTCTACAGGGCCACGGCTCTCGTCTTCGAGGGCCAGAGTGTTTCCCAATTTTCACTGCACCACATCAACGCCCTTTTCCCACTCCCATTCTTAACCCGGGAATGATTAAAAGAGACATATAAACCCTGCCAGACCGCAGCTCATCCTACTGCGTGCTCTGCACCAAAAGCTGGAGAGAAGGGCTTCTCAGTTCTGGTGCCTGGGACCCCTGCACCTGCTCAGCTGTGTCATTTAACCCTCGGCTGAGCTGCCAAGGTGAGCATGAAAAGGGAGGAATTGTAGTTGACTCATGGAAATTAACAGTTGCAAAGAAACATCACACACGTCCAGGAGCCAATACCAGCTCATGAGTGCATGAAAATCCAATGAGAGCCCAGCAGGAACTGAGGGATCCCAGGCTCTGAATTTGGGGACCTCCCTCTGCAGGCTCAGCAAGGGGGTGTGTACCTTTGACGGTGACGTGCACGCTCTGGCTTGTGGATAGCTGGGGCTGGACCAGCACGTTGCAGGTGTACTCTCCCTCATCCACCTCCTTCTGGACGTCCGACAGCTTCAGGGTGCCGTTATTCTCGAAGGCACCCTGGCGGTGATTGAAGGGCAACAGGTTGGAGTTCTTGTACCACTTGATGGAGTAGTAGGGGTAGCCAATCACACGGCAGTGGATGTACGTGTCCCGCCCAGCAATGGCTGTGATGTTTTTCATTGGCCGGATGCTGGCAGGCCCTTAAAAACAGAACAGCAAGAACACTCTTTAAAACAATTTTGAGAAACAGAACAAAATCACACCGTCTCTTCGCAACAGTGCCATGAACAATTGTTCTGTTTGCCCCTCAAAAGAGGAGCTCTGTCTTCTGCAGTGCAGCTAAACTAGGGAGGCAAGATGTAGGGAGGCAAGATGTGTGGTGGCAGAAACAGGTTAGAGGTTAGTATCTGGATGCCCGGATGTAGAAATATCCAGATTTTTCGTCACTGCTGTTTGTCAGTAGTGTTTCAATGACAAAACAATCCACCTGTGAAGAAACAACAGGAAAATCTATAAAAAATATATATTTCTATCCACTTGAATAACCATAAGTTTCATAAGGGATCTATAATTTACAATAAATACAAAGTGGAAGTAAAAATTGAATGTAAACAGCTTTATTGTGTAGAATCTGTGGTTGTAAAAATAAAAACAGAGGAACAAAAACAGGAATGTGTGATTTTAGAAACTTGCAATAAGGCGATGCTTTTCATCAGTGTGAGTTCTGTAAATTATTTATGCTTTTCTCTTTCAGAAAGGACTTCCACATTCTCAAAGTCAAATCGTTAAGAAACAAGTGCAGGATGTCAAGAGAGGATTTACTTTCTGAACAAGAACTAGATAACATATGTGAAAGTGCAATTAATAAACGTAAAAAAAGATATCATATAACTGTTAAGTGTTTTTTTAAGTTTCAGTTCATAGATTCACTTAATACTTTCCCGAACTGCAGCCACAGATCCTTACCTGTACATTGCGCCCTTTTCTGTAAGAAGCAAAAACAGTACATTTGTGACAAAAGAAACAAGACTGTTCGATCGGAAACTGAAAGCACGATAATTTAGAGTACACCATTTTCAGCCACAGCCAGGAATCAAATCAAACTTTATTGTACCTTTTCCCTCCTATTGCATGCTGGGTCTGGGAGTTTCCCACATCTCTCTTCAATGCCCTTCAGCGCAGGTGTTCCTGTAAGCACTTTGTCAAACTTACCCATTTGCAAAGCCAACAGCCAACCAAATTGTTTTTTTTCTATAGACACTTGCACACACACTTCCAGCCAGACTGACAAACTACAAACTAACCATCACGTTCAACTGAACAAGGCTTAATTTAATCAAAAATGAAAAACTTGGCCTGATTAAAAAGAAGTCCACATTCATGATTACTGCTCTTATTCATATTAGAATTTAGGACCAAAAATGGACTTTAAGGGACCTTTTCACAAAAGTGAGGACAGGAACATCAATAAGTATGAATAGATTCAATCCGAATAATAATCTGTACTGACTCCTGCGGAGTTCCTTTGCTCACATAAAGCAGCAGTGTTCTCTGGGCTCAGTCTGTCACATGGAGACCTGCGGGTTTCCTTCCACAGCGATATGAATCTACACTTCCAGGGCAGAACGCCTGTTTGTAATAACTGACAATTCTCCAATGAGAAGAGGCATAGAGTCTGTGCTTCTCAGGTTCCAAGTCACATTAGACCTTTAAGTCTTACTTAAGACCTCGGAGCCCTGCTTGCCTGGACCCTGTTCACAGTGGTCAGCTCGTTGCTTATTTCAGGGTCGAAACGAGTATTCGCCTCCACGGTCCAAAGGGGAAGAATAATTTGTGAAGGGGGCGGAGGGTGCGTTTGAGGTCTCCATCGCATCCGGACCCTGCCTGTTATTGAGGGGCTCCCCAGCTGCGCCCCTCTTGGGCAGCACATTCTATAGCACCCCTTGAACCAGCAGCGACTCCAGAGCTGTGCAGGAGGGCAAGACTGCACACCTTGTCCAGGTGAACCTGGACTGAGCTCCCTGAACCCCCTCCCTTCAAAGAACTGCTGCCCTGGTCTTCTCGTGGAGCAGACTCCACCGGCAACCGGCCTGCAAAAGTGTCAACTAGCAGAAGCCTGGGTAAGTGGGGGGCATGTTTCTCCTCAGCCATGTGGAAACTGTTATTTGTAAAGCTCCCCAACATGAAGCCGAGAGCTGGCATTAGATAACGAATACTGCATGGCGGAAATGATTACCGAGACACGTGAACATTAATTAAACTAATCCAGGCTACATTTTGTTTCAGTTGTAGAAATTTCAGTTGAAAACCAATTGATGTAAAACACATGGACAAAACAAGCAAGATGACAGAGGCTGGCTGTCAGATCCATGTACACACTTATAAAAGCGACCAGGAAGACATACCTGCTCACAAAGATACTTATTATACATTCAGTACAAACACAAACACACACACACCATTACAGACATATACAGCATATGTACTGTACATACTGTACGGAATACATATTCTAAATGGAAAATGCAATGATTTCTGGAATGAAACAACTTCGATTAGGTTGAATAGACATACTTAAGGACAACTCACAGGCAGCTGAAGGCTAGTTATCGCCGGACGGATGTACAGGAAGGACTTTCATGCAAACAGGCCAATAAACATGCACACCGAACAGTTAACAGGGCAGGGAAACACAAACTGAATAAATGTGGATATAATGACAAGCATGATTGGTCAATTAGAATAATTCAGGGTAAATACGTAGATGTACAGTGTATGTAGATAGGTACATTATATTTTAAACAAGAAATGTGTGCATTATTGTGAAGACATTTAGTGTTAAATACTACATTTTCAAGAAGGGATAGACAATGAAACTAAAGTAGTCTCAGCAGTACTTAAGGCTGAATTGTAGTGTTTGGAAAATTGCTGATTTAAAAAAAATGGCAAAAAGAACATAGAGTACATATTGTATATATATATATGAATAAAAAATGAGGTAAGGTTATATTAGCAAAGAAAGAGTTATCTAAAATTATACTATCAGTCTTCTATACAAAGATATTTTAGTTGGTTTGTTTGTTATAATTATGCTTCCGAGAGAATTTATGTTTTTTTCAATTAAACAGATTTCAATTGAACAGCTAAGCTAAGGTGTGGCCAGTTGTCATCATTTCTTCTTATTACAGCACAGTAGGATGGGGATTTTTCAAAGTGATGAAAGGCAGAGGGGATGAAGAGCAAGACTGTATTTTCACAGTAAGGTGGAAGAGGCAGCTGCGATTGTGAAGATGAGGGATGAGACACAATGGAGGAGCGACCGGGAATCAGACCTACAAGCAGAAAGACTAATTTGGATGGAGCAAAATAACAACCATGGAGGGAAAAGAAACGGAATAAAAGAACAAAACCTGCAACTGAAAAAGAGACATGATGTTATCCTGAAATGAGCTCAAGTAAGGTTAGTTAGGCATCTCGGGGGCTGCTTCGAGCATGCATGAGCCTTGCGACCAGAATGAGTCATGTGTGTGTCTTTGGAGGAGCTGATCTGACAAGCACCTCTTACGTTTATTCGAGCCTGGTAGGTGACCACGCCGGCCGAGTTGTTGGCAGTGCAGCGGTAGACTCCGCCGTCCCGCACGTGGGTGCTGGTGATGTTCAGGTAGCTGAGCACGTTGCCCTCGGAGGTGATGACCTGGCTGACCCGGTGGCTGCTGTCCTTCACGATGGGCTCGTCGTCCAGCGTCCAGGTGACGGTGGGCAGGGGTGTGCCCTTGACGTTGCACACGAGGGACACCAGCTCGTTGGGGCTCACCACCTTCTCGCTGAACGCCGACAGGATCTTCGGGGTTCCATCTGAAAGAGCACCAGCAGGACGGGTGGTCAGATGGACAGCCGCCCCAAGCCGGCGGTGTTTCGTGCCCGTTGGGATGACACACACTTCCGTGGCGGGGTCTCAAAGCGCTGACCCAGGGACGGAAGTGTAAAGCTCAGAAACTGAGAAACTGCGTTAAAGAAAGCTGACTGCTATTGGGAATAGCTTCCACTCTGCACAGCTATATACTGTAGAATTGCTTGTTTCATTTAATCCTCTCAATATCTCAATGCCCAACATGAAGAGAAGTTCATCAATTGTTTTCTACACCCAGGGTCATACAGAGTCTTTCTCTATGGTAAACATATGCCAATAGAAAGTCCTTCACCTATGAAATACCTTTATTATATATACAGTATATTGTCAGAGTATCACATCCTCCTTGGCAGTGACACCTGTAAGTGGGAACTGTTTCTTCACAGCTCTCAGCATGTGCAGGCTGTGGGGTGCAAAACGTAGGACATGGGGTGTTGGGGCGAGTGTGTAGGATATGGGGGATATGGCATAGGGTGTATGGTGTAGGAAATGGGGTGTATAGTATAGGGTGTAAGGTGTAGGAAATGGGGTGTATAGTATCAGATGAAGGGAGTTGTCTTAGGTATTGGGTGTATAGTATAGGCTATAGTGTGTAGGGTGTGGGGTGTGGAATCTAGGATGTAGGTTCTACGGTATAGGAGGTAGGTTGTATGGTAAAGGATTATAGGATTAGGGTAAAGTGTGCAAGATGTAGGATATAGGATACAGTGTGTAGGATTTAGAGTAGAGAGCATATGATATAGGGTATATGATGTAGTGTACAGGATGTAAGGTGTATGGTGTAGTGTATAGGCTATAGGGTATAGTGTGTAGGATGTAGGGTGTAGGCTGTAGGCTGTAGGATATAGGGTATAGTTTACAGGTTGTAGGATATAGAGTACAGTGTGTAGCCTGTAGGGTATAGTTGTAGTGTGTAGGCTGTAGGCTGTTGGATGTAGCTGAGGGATCTAAATGTAAAGAAGAGATTCCCTTCAGCTCTGCCAGCTCCCTGGTCGCAGTGTCACTGCCAGTCCTTCCCAAACGGAGGCCCACATGCTTTTAATTTCCAACGAAACCTGACGCGCGACAAATGCATTACCCGTCACTCCGCCTGCATGGCTGCCCTATTTTATTTTATTATTTCTTCATCCCTTCTCTTGGTGACGGGCTCTTTGTGAGATGAAAGACGACATTATTTTCCCAGCGAGACCTGAGTGTCTTTGAAATCTCGCCTGCCTGTCGCTCCCTGATAGCCCGCACTCTCTCTACATCATTATAGATTATCAATACGCTCTTTATACAGTTGCCACGGCAACCAGGCCCAGGTAGGCAATGTCAGCCTCGTGCTGATGTTCTAATAATAGTCGCCACACCGTGACTGCACCGCAGGACTCATTAGCACACAGGTTCTGCGCCGATCGATTGTTCCCCCCCCAGCCTGTGCCGGGGCCACGGCGTGCCGCTCCTGCTCAGTCCCAGCAGCCTGCTGTTCGCTCCAGCAGGAAACAGCAGCGGCCTTCGCAGCAACCTGGACCCGCGCGAGAGGAAGGACATCGACCGAGGGAGCGCAGCGGCCCAGCGTGGGTTTCCGGGGCGCGAGTCGGCCAGCAGGAGTGCACGTGCACCATGTGTCCACCTGGCCGGGCCCATGTGCACAAACGGAGAGAGAGGCCACATGGAAACACTCCCCTGCAGGAAGGTTTTATTAAACAGGGGACTAACAGCACAGCTGTGGCAGCAAAAGGTACTCAGACTACGTAGCGTACAAGAACACTCAAAAGGTAACTCCAAAGGGGATGCTAACACGGCATATTTCACCATCAGGCTGCCTCCCTTATGAGCTGCAAACATCAGGAGCAGGGAGCTCTTTAAAGTTGGGCACCCGTTGTGTGTGCGCTGGGGGGACGTTTCTCACCTTCCAGAACGACCTGCACGAAGTCCTGGGCCGACATTTTGTCCTTCCTGGCAAAGCACTGGTAGGCGCCCCCGTCGCTCTTGGCCATGCCCTCCATCACCAGGGTCTCGCGGTTGCTGCCCGCGATCCTCACGCTGTTGCCTGGGTGGATGACCTCCCCATTGCGGTACCAGGAGAGCTCATGGTCCTCGGCGCCGCTCACGCTGCACGACAGGGACACCTGGCTCCCCACACTGCCCTTCACCTTGCGGGGACTGACGACCACCTTCAGGGGCTCTGCGGAGGTTAACACACAGCAGTCCGGGTGTGAAAGCACGGCAGACGGACAATAAACTCCATAGGTCCTTCATTTACCCTTCAAACCAAAATAATGCACAAGTGAACTGTCCGAGTGTTTTCATCTTTTGCTCGCAGGCGGCTGATTTGCACTGATTTCATCATGTTGATACTATACAGACTAACCGCGCAGGCAGTTGGCACGGTGGTGTGTGCGCGCGCACGCGCGCGTGTGTGTGTGTGTGTGTGTGTGTGTGCGCGCGCGTCGGCAGTTGGCACGGCGGTGTGTGTGCGCGTGTGTGTGTGTGTGTGCGCATGTGTGTGTGTGTGCGCGTCGGCAGTTGGCACGGCGGTGTAAGTGCGCGCGTGTGTGTGAGTGTGTGTGTGTGTGCGCGTGTGTGTGTGTGCGCGTCGGCAGCTACAGTACTTACGCTTCACCACCAGCCGTCCCACGACGGCCGCATTGCCGTAGCTGTTCCACACCTCGCACACGTAGTTCCCGGAGTCGCCGGGCCGCGCGCTCTCGATCAGCAGGCCCGAGACGCTCTGCCGGAAGCGGCTGTCCGGCTCCAGGGGGTTGTTGTCCTTCAGCCAGCGGTACTTGGGCGCTGGGTGTCCGGAGGCTTTGCACGGGAGCTCCACCCGCTGCGTGGCCATCACCTCCCGCCGGTCGAAGCCATCGAGGATCACCGGTTCGGAGTTCGTTGGGTCTTTGGTAAGAGAAAAGTACACGGCACTGGCTACTGCGGAAGTGCACAGGTGCAGCATTCCACTAGAAATATTCACCGTGGTAAAAACACAGAGCGAAGCAAAGAGCGACCATAAGCACTCGGCTTGTCGCTTCGGGCGGGTTATGGGTCAGAGTTAGATCAGGTGTACTGGTGGGTGAGGCCAGTTCTGGTCTACTGGGGATGTGCAGAGTCAGTTCAGGTGTACTGGGAATGGGCGGGGTCAGTGTGGGTGTGCTTGGAATGTATGGGGTCAGTTCAGGTGTGCTGGGAATGGGCGGGGTCAGTTCAGGTGTACTGCTGGGCGGGGTCAGTTCAGGTGTACTGGTGGGCGGGGTCAGTTCAGGTGTACTAGGGGAGGGTGGGGTCAGTTCAGGTGTACTGTTGGGCGGGGTCAGTTCAGGTGTACTGTTGGGCGGGGTCAGTTC